TGGGTCACATTTGTTAGGGATAAGGCATGTCAATTCTTAAAAAGCCACCGTGAGATAACCAGACTTGTACAGAATCCTCATGTCTGGAATCATACGGTGTGCCAGTTTACCTGTCCACGCGCCGCCCGGCGTATGACCGACTGACTGACTGACTGAGCTGACGTGAAATGTCTGCCCAGAGTTCTGAAGCCTTTACTACAAGCCCGTATCAGGGAGGAAGAGTGTGAGACCCGAGCTGCGTGTCCTTTACGTGTCGGTGCTCAAGGGTTCGCGGGAGCGCGCTCGGATCATTTTTGTGCATCTGTGTCTCGTAATTCTTGGGTAAAGGCTTGAAGGTACGCCTTCGGCCTTAGGCGACCATGAAATCCACAACAGCGTGGCAGCATGCCCCGACATCTTCCATGGAAGCAGTGCTCCTGAACCTCGCTCTTTGTGTTCAGGATGAGGGGCTGTACACTGAATCTGATGATACTGGAAGAAGCGAAGTCAGCTGTGGGAAAGTGCACGATGGGTAGCACAGGAGCCAAGTCGGTTGGGGTATGGGTTGTCGTTCGGGGCAGTCCTCCTGGAGAAGAAGATGAGAGAGCACAAAACGACTTGCAAGATGGAACTTGCTCGCAGGCGTGGTCACGTCATTCGAGACCTGCCGAAGCCAGGTAGCCCAATGTACTCGGTCGGGCTCCCGATGTGTTTGCGGCTGTTGATGCTGCTGGTGGGTTCAACGAATGGTGATTAGCATTAGATGAGTTAGGATTCATAATAATTAGCAGTGGGACGCGGCATCGACACGCTGTTCCCATTTCCTCTAAGACTCTCATCTATCCTACAAGGCTGTTCAGAGGCATGCTGCTTTGCTTTGCCCTCAGGTGCACGCATACTTGCCCGCCATGGAGTCTTTCGGCTTCGAGACTGATCTCAGAACACACACGTCCGGACAGGTGGGGTGATCGGGAAGAGATGATGAGTCTCTAGGGCTTCAGGGGGCTGAAGTTCAGGCAACGGCAAATCACTGCCAGGCAATGTGCCAGACCTTCTTCGATCACTGGGAACATGTTCCTGGCGATCCGCTGGATCGGTCCATCCTGCTGCCCGCTCCCCGGACTCAGCACTCTCATCTCCGTGCTACGTCGTGCCGTGCTTAGGCGCCCGCTGGAGCCGGCACCTGCGCCGCACCTGGCGCGCGAGTTCATGCTCAAGATGAGGCGGCGAAAGGGCCTCAGCGAGGACACCTACAAGAGCCGTTGACATCTAGAAGCTAGAGACTGGAAATACGAAACCGCTGAACGGCAGACTATTCCTGACCAGGACGTGTCGGTTCACAAGTTCTTTGATGATCCGATGCTTCTGGAGCTCGCAAAGCAGGACCCCTGCACCCAAGAGCTGTCACCACATGTCAGGAAGCCTGTTGTTGGAGACAAGTCGACGGTATCCACTGGAAACACGCAGGATGCCGAGCTCAGCTCCTACTTCTGAGCGCTTTCGTAAGCGCAGCCTCGTAGTCCCGACACACCACCAACGCTACGTATGCAATGTGACACGAGCTGAATCCGACACCCTCTCAGACTCTTGGGAGACTTGGAGCTAAAGGGCAACAGTTGCCAATCACGGTCTCCGCGTCCGGTTGTTAGGTTTGCAAGAGTCTCAACTGTGCCATCCTGCGACACAACACAGAACTCAACGCTAGGGCCCTGGAACCGGGGGGTGTGTAATGACCGGGGCTCTGCCTGGTGCAGTGATGCGACGACGGCAGCCGGTCCGTTAAGAAACATGGCAAGCGTGCACTTGCACCGCAGACGGCGCTTTTCTTTTCGGAGTTCTGTCATACTTAGAGTGGTCCTGTCCTTTCCAGGCAGCGGCGGGGCTCAAGATCAGTCGTGGTAGGCAGTGATGACCACGCTGCTTATCACGCTTCTGCTCGCGGGTGTGTCTGGGCAACCGGATGTGGTGCCATTGCAGCATCATCCGCGGTATCCGGGAAGCCTGGACTCGACTGCCCTCGGCAATCTGAAGCAGAAGAGCGTCTTGGACCAGGAGCTTGACTTGAGCATCACGCGTGCCCATGCGCTGGTGGCAGAGCTCTTCGTGGGAACGCCACCGCAGAAGATGACCTGTTTGCTGGACACGGGCAGCTCTGACCTTTGGATCCCTTCCAAGCACTGCCAAAGCTGCGAGAATCAGCACCTCTTCCATGCCGACAGGTCCTCAACCTTCGTGCCCGAGCTGCACGAGACTGCACAGGGCCGGCGCCCTCTAGCAGTGCGTATCAGCTATGGAAGCGGCCAGATCACTGGCTACAAGGTGCAAGACACGATCAGCTTCGGAGGACGGGGAGTAACTATAGAGCTTTCCGAGAGATCAGTGGCGCAGTAGAGTTAAAGTAACCTACCTGCCACGCAGAAAACCAGGGCACACGGTCCGCAACCAGACGTTTATCATCGTCGAAGATGCCCTTCTTCCTCCAGACCGAGACTGGGACGGAATCTGCGGTCTGGGCTGGGAGACTATCTCGCAGCTGGGCCATCCGCTGTATACCAGGTTCCAGGAGATGGGTTTCAAGGCAGGACAAGCACGTCGTACAAAAAACGCAGCACGCCAGCCTTCCAGAAGCTTCAGCTTCATTTTGATTCTTGCTTCTGGGGTTCTTGCTCGCGAGGCGATGTTCACCTTCGTGCCGCAGGGCAGCCGCTCTGCGCATCTCTCAGTGGGCCCCTTTCCCCAGCATGCGGTTAAGCCTGGCACCACGGTCTGGGCGGACGCCGAAGTGGCAGGTATTCGCGGAGGCGCAAAGGAAAGAGCCCACAACGAAGCGAAGCCAGACCGCCCTAACGAATCACACCCCTCAGCCCGAACTCAAAGAAACATAGTAACATTCAACATTGCAGTGTGACCCACTCTTTGCATGTCTTTGCCGCGGAGGGCAGCGGAGCTTCTGGGTTACCACCGGCGGCATCGCAGTGCACAAGCAGACGCCTCACCCGGCCCGCTTTCTCGTGGACACAGGCCTTGCTTGCTTGCTTTTGGGCGCCTAGCTCATCCTATCTTCCGATTTTTCCGCTACGGCGTTGCCACAGGTTGGGTTGTTGACACTGTTGTTTCCAGGCACCAACCAAGTGCTGCTAGCCCCGCGACGCCTCTACATCAGCATCATGCGGTCGGTCCTGCCGAAGGATAAGCTCCTTGCCTTAGACTTGCAGCTTTTCTTGCTTGGATCCTTCCTTAGTCCGGGCCGTGCGTGGGTCGACGGGACAGCACGGACCGTGCACCCGCTTCGTGCATTGTTCAATGTCGTTTTTCAGGTTCCGTCTTGACCTTTGTCATCTTCAGTGGGATGCATATCGACATATAATCCACGGTTGATCCGAAATCACAATCGGCAGTCGAGGTTCAATGATCTCTGTGGCATTGACCACATGAAAGGCGGCGTTGTCTTCTGCGACTGCTCCATAGTGGAAGCCTCGCGAGACCTCCCGCCTCTCCGCATCTTTATCGCAGAGCACCCATTCGAGTTGCCGGTTGAAGAAATGTTTATCCGGGTGCCAGCCAAGAATGGCTTTGGAGAGGCTTGCATGTTGGCCATTCAACCGAACAATGTGGAGATCGGGAACGGTTTGGGCCCGGGCGTACCTCTTCCACTGCCTTTCGGAGGCCTCGGAGGCGAGCCGGGCCAAACTCGCAGCAGGCGGTGAGAGCCGTTTCTTTTTTAGAGAGTCGTTGTCGTGTCTTCCTGCGCCAATGACAGGGCTACTTCGAGATCTGCCGAAGCTGGATGGCTTTCCCTTTCCCTTCCCGAAGCTTGGGCCTTTGTTGAGCGAAACCGAGGAGCGCTCGGGTTCGACCGCGCCGGTTGCGTCCCCCCTTGAAAAAGGGCTCGGCATGCCTCTCTTCGGGGAGGGCACAGCAGGCAAGGGCGCGCTGCCCCTGCCCAAGCTCCTCCCTCTCTTCGGCGAGAAGGGCTCCGGAAACTCGTTGCCTTCAGTCGGAGGCCTTCATATCGGACCCCTCGGTAAAGGGGTCTTGTCAGAGCAGGTTCAGGAGCAAATCCACACTCGTCCGGATGGGACGGTGTGCAAAACTACCATCGTCGTCGTCAATGGCAAGGAGAAGAGTCGTGCCTCGGAGGCAGTGGTCGGCATTTTGACATTTGCAGCCTTCGGTTTCCCACAGAGCATCTCTTATGTCCAAACCATCACAAACGCGAAGAAGAAAGTTTGATCTCCGACACACAGGAGTTGGGGCTAACTCCAACCTTTCCGCTGTCTTAAACATTCGTAAACCAAAGAAATGAACAAACAGTCTCCAACACACAGAAGAAAGCCACACAAAAAACGCTTCAGGAAACAAAAAGCGAAGAAAATATAATTATTGATATATATTACCGTTTGCATAAACATGTACACAAGGCTTGCAGATCGAGGGTGCAGAGTACACACACATAACACACACACACATATATATATATATATATATGTATATGTATATATATATATGGATGGATATCTATATATACATGTAATAGGCCTATCTATACATAGATAGGGTTCATATACATATATGTTTATGTATATATATATATATGTATATAATCGCGGTAATGTACATATACCCTATACAGCGTCTCTAGGGATTACTAGCAGGGACTGCCAATTGCATTAAAGTCAGGACAAGCCTCCTATGAGGGGGGCGGCCTTGCTTGCATAAGCATGCATGGGGTTCCACATAGATCCTTAGGTGGGTTTATATATCTTATATATATATATATAGATATACGTATATTTTTTCCGTTGCCATAGGGTCCTTGAGTCTACAGTTTAGCTTCGCACTTGCAGAATGAAAGCCGACCAAATCCAAACTGGTAGTGGAGAGCCGATACCCGGTGGACCAGCTAAGTTGACGGCGGAGGATCTATCATAGACCTCCTTCTTTGAAAGTTTGAAGTAAGTTGATGTGAACAGGGGCAACTTCGCAACTGTGGCAAGCACTCTGAACAATCCGGTAAAGACGTGTTGACTCATGTAATTGGCAGCACGAACACGATTACCTACATAGACTGTCACAAGTCAGGTAGGAGGCATTCGGAGCTTGTCGATCAGGGAGATGAGAGACAACTGAGGTCAGTTGTTACACGAAGCAAACAAGGTACTCGAGTTGGCCCGCAGGGGCGAGACATTGAGCAAAGGTATCAGAATGAACCTGTCGAGTTTGAGAATCTCGGCGCCCTCACAGCTTCGGACGCAAGCTTAGCGGGCGAGGCAGGGTTCATTCCTGGCACCATCTGAGCGACCGCATTCGCACACCGCCGAAATCAGGGACGGATCGGGAGAATCGCGCACGCTCCGACATCCCCCCTTGGTCCTCACAGACGGCAGAAGTTCGGCCGATCACTGAAATGCCGACACCCCTGCTGCTTGGTAAAGCCCAGGATCACGGCGACAGTCGATGTTTAGGGACGACGGGGATCGTACGCCGACCGGGTAGACACAGCGACTCAAGCACCGATTGATTCACAAGAAGCATGATGCCTGACTTGGTAAGCAAGATCATCCGGTCAGGATTGTACAGGATCAGTCGTGCGAAACTGAGCACATACTAGCGCATGGAGAGCCAACACCTCACGTGGGCAGCATTTTCGAGTACTGACCGCAGCGGTTGAGCAGGCCGCCGACGCCACTCACGAGTAACACTGCCTGTAGTGGATTCAAGTCTTGTCGCTGCAACAGAACAGGTTGAGTGTGAAACCAAGTGATTGCTGTATCCGCTGCCACGGGGCCTTTGAGGTTCGCGGTTCCAGAAGAAGAGACAAACAAAGTTCGGAAAAGGCTTTCCCCCAGAGCCCCAAACTTGGCCCCAAACCCAAAAATACTCAGATCCTGCAACCTTTCAGCCTTAAGCCCTAACTGAACTTAAGCACAAAAAATGTCCCGCATGTCTTGTGAGGAACGGAAGACTGCTCGAAGCCTCGAGCAGACATGGCTGACGAGGTCAGGCGGCTGCAGCTGGTGGTTCCCATGGTACTTCGGCTGGAATTTGAGCATCTATGCGTGCATGTATACATATACGACCTGGCTCTGTGTGTATGGTACACATGCATAGTCGCTCCGTTATTCAGTGTGGTGAGTTCAGTGTTGACCTTGTGGCAAAGCCCAACCCGAAAGTCAAAGATCCCAAGGGCGGCATTCTGGAGCTGCCGCTGGATCCATCGGGTGATGCGAGTGACCAAGACGAGGGCCCCGATGCTCGGGCTGAACTTTCTCGGGATGTAGGCTTCGCGGTGAAGGTTCGAAACACTCTTTGGCCCTGAGCGCGTTATTAGCTCCTTGAACCTCGAAACCCGCCTCCGAGGACCTCAAAGCTTCCCTGGCCCAGGAAATGTGGGTTTTAGGCGGCATGTTTCTGCAGCGGTTCGTCGTGTCCTTCGACTTCGACCAGGCACTGCAAAGTCTTCAAAGCAGGAGCTGCCGGGGAAACCGCGTGTGTGAAGCCCTGTCGTTAAATCTAAAAAAGCAGGGCGAAAGCAAGCCTTGCATGCACCGGCTAACGGTGGCTAACGGCTAACAGATACCATGCTGCAATATGCAGCACTCTGGGAGGCCAAAGTTAGGCACCTGCAGAGTGTGACATCTTGAACAGTATATTCAGTTTATCTTGAGCAACATAGGCTGTGGGTTATCATGAATCACCGAAGCAAGGAGTCATCCATATCTGCGATGTAAGTGAAGTAGAGAAGGCACATGCGACGACAGAGATGTAGCTAGCTTACTAAACCGTGTGGTAGCTTCGGCTATCTCGAGGGTCGTTCCAAGTGTGTGTGTGTGTGTGAGGTCAAAAGCCATGTATTGCATATGATGTTGCGCTTTACAGCGGGATTTCGTTTGTGATTGTGCGGGGTGGTGTAAGATCGCGATTCGGTCTAACGCTTCCATAGTACTCGTAGCTCCAGCTTCAACACCCAGTCCGTCCTGTCCCGCCATTCTCTTCCGACACCCACCCAAACAACAGACAGACGCCCGACAATTGCAGTACTAGTATCACCAGTCATGAGTCTTTAAGAGTAGCAGCGCATTGTATTCGTGTGGTAGGCCCTGTAGCACTGCGCGCAATCACGATATGATCCACGTAAATGTGCAGCGAGGGGTCTGTCCGACGCGAGGTAGTGTGTGCCCGTGCAGTCCCCGGACTTGAAGATCCTTGTTATATTTGTTATTTTGCACTGTTTGGGTTTATGATTAGCTTCGTCGATTTGTTTGCAAGTCCTGTCAGCTGCCGGTGTCGAGGATGCCCAAGGGGTCTCGGAAGCACGCAAGGGCTGATTCCAAAACAACCACAGACTCATCCGAGAACAAGACTCCGGCTGAGTCGGAATCAATTCACTAAGCACCGTTTGCGTTTGGAATTTAGGCTTGAATGTTCAGGGTTGACGACTTTTTGTTTCCATGTTTTGGAGTCAGCCTCACGGGTCGAGCAGGTAAGGTTCTGGGCTCAAGCATCCCTCGAGCATCGGCTGGAAATGTTTTTTCCACCTTGCCAATCCATTTGATGGAGTTCGCGGCGCTTGGAGTGCCTGACAGGATCCAGCTGCCGTAATTTGGCCGTATCGCCCAGAGCTTGTGAACAGCTCGTTTTCAGCAGGTGGAGTGTCCGCGCCCGAACTGCTTAAATCGGGCTGCCGAACCGTTCATGTGCGTATGTCAAACTGACTGACTGGTACGCGGATCCGGAAACCGTCAACAACCCAGTTGCATCCACGCACATGCACCATGCGACTCCGACAACACGACGGCGACGGAGCGGCGACTTTGACGACCCGACGAGCCACCCCAATGTCGCGATCTGATGCACGGCTTTGAATTCGTAGATCAGCACCTTGACTAGACCTCTAGATCCTGGCAGGGCCGAATTGGAGTCGCCGAGCCGGTGAGTGAGGCTGAGAATGTCCCTGTTGTGACCTAGCTATGAAGTCTCATTGCTGGACCCGCGAGGTCGACGGCACGTTGGGCCTTGCCAGCCTGCGCGGAGTCAAGTACCAGGGGAGTTCCTGGGCGTGGCCGTGGCTTCGAGGGCACTAGTTCTGAAGATGGTGTTTGTGTTTTTTTGAGATCCGGCAGAATTTCAACTGCCCTTTTCTTTCTGCAACTGCACGAAGCTTTTCCCATGAACATCTACGGCGCCAAGCATCAACATGCTGACATGCTGAAGCCTTGAATTCCAAACGGCTGGGGCCGTTGTGTTCGAGCATCCACAGCTTCCCTCAACTTGCTAGCTAGGCAGCACTCTGCGGTTTGTTGCATGTAAGAAGTGATTAAAAATGTGGTCAGGTTGGTGGCTTGTCTGTCCCCAGTGGGTGTCAGGGCATGTGTTTGCATGAATTCATTTTTCAGTGCTACAAAGTTACTCTCCCACCGGACGAGTCCGGAAAGTCGAGAGCTTGTTCGCATTCGTGTGATGAGGCTGGGCGCCTGGATGGCAGGCACGTCTAGAGGGAGAGAGCATGAGAGAGCGCCACTTGTCTAGGCCTTGAACACGAGCTTGGGTGTGTCGGGCTTTCGATTTTCTTCGCTTGTTGAGGCATCCTGCTCGCGTTTTTGGTGGCCCTCATTGCATGTGCAGCTTTCCGGGTGACATCCCGCAAGCTGGAACCACTGATCTCTGAAACGGAGGGCTCGACTGGGCCGCTGGGATCTTGAGCGTTCTTTGAGGTTGTGAATGGTCTGCAGCCTCGTCACTTAAGCAAAGCAAGGATGTGCGAATGAGTCACACTCGCCCTAGTCGCAGAACCCCGGCGTCTCGGCGCGAGTTTAGCTGCCAGCCCCGGAAGTACCGGACATCACATGTGACCCATTGTGACCCCCAAGGACATGGGAAGATCGAAGTGCTGACGATGCTGTACAGTGTTTGCACCCGATTTTCGGCAGGGCATGGGAAGGCATGGCTTGCAGGGCATTCCAGCCACGGATGGAGCGTCGCGATCTTTTGCACCCTGTACAGCAGTCGTAGGGTGAGCAGAGCATCGGCGGAGCACGACTTGGCGTTGTTAGCCATGTGGTGGCTCAGCAACTGTACCTGGGCCGTACCAAGGGCGATTGCGGAGACCTGGCACAAGTAGGTCGCGAAGCGTTCAGGAACCGGTAATTTAAGCTGCGGCACCTTGAATGTTCCTGATCTCATGGCTTAAGCAGAGGAAGGGCAGCCATCCAGACAAGCTCAGGAGCTTTTTCCAGACAAACAAGCGAGGCTTCCAGCTGCCTGCAGCTCATCCAAGCAGTCCTGTAGTGTAAATCCCAGTCTTGAGCTGTGCGGGTGCACAAGCCGGTTCGAACAATAGACAGTCATCCTTTAGACGGACATAGTCCAAGAGCAACGATGACGACAAGCCGGGGCCCTACATTCTTTCAGCATGCAGTGTCTCCACTATGCTGATGCTGCTTTTGGTCAGTGGGCAGGTCAAAGTATTATGAAGCGGACGGTGTACGTTGGTGGTTTGGACGAACAGGCTGCTGCCTTTGCATCCTTCCACATTGCAAACAACAGCTTTTCGACGACGTTTTTCGATGTGGGAGCCTTTAGGACTTGCAGACTTGAATTCGGCACTTAAGCCACGATCCCGATAGTAGAGAACGAATCATGAATTTTGCAAAGATCCTGTCCACCAGGGCACGGAGGCCCAGGAGATGCACTGTGACAAAGCACATATGAGTACATCTTCATCTTACACAGGAAGGACACGCCCCAGATGCTCCCCATGAGCGTACGACGGTTGCGATCACTTGCGCGAACGCGCGCGCGAACGCACGCCCTCCAGCAACTCTGGTGGTAGCCTTTCCGCTATGCCACTCGCGAGACGCCTCTGTCCGGGCAGGTCGACCGCAAGGTTTTGGAAGAGGCTTTTGTGAAGTTTGGGGATCTGAAGACGGTGTCGTCCTCGCCGACAACGTGGAAGGGGAGGCCGCGAGACATCGTCCCTTTTTCGGCCTCCGAGGTTGAGATTCCCCTGGACATGAAAACTGGGAAGCCGCGAGCTCGAGACTCTCAGAGTCTGCGAAAGGCCGAGCCGTCTTTTCCTGCGTCGCAACTGTCGCCGAGGCACCGAGGCTTCGGCTTCGTGGAGTTCATGGAAGTTGATGATGCAGAGGCAGCGCCTGACCTATTTGGTGTTTTGAGAAGTTGAATTTTGTTTACTCGTACCAGCGCCAGCGACGACATACGGACTCTTGGTGTCTTTCTCAGGCAGAATCTGTGACGATGGGTAAGAAACTCATTTAGTGGATGCAGGTTACCCTGGATTTCTTGTTTAGACAGCCCTTGTTCCAGTTTCCAGGGGTCAGGGTTCCCGGATTTCTTATCGCCCCTTGGGCTGGATTTCATTTTTATTCGCGGGCTTTCCGGCCAGGCAAAGGGCCGAACCCATGCCACAGGAAAATGAAAGGTCCAGGAGCTGAACTTGTAATTTTCCTGTTGAGCAGTCCGATGCAAAACCAGGAAAACAAGAGCTCTTTTCTCGTTTCCTCATGGGTGGTCCAAAGAAGCAAGAGATCCATGCAGGGGCTCAATTTCGTGCTTGCCTTTTGGGCGGTCCGGCCAATAGCCAGGAAAACACAACACAAAAGGGGCTGAATTTCTTCTTCCTTCTGGGCGGTGCGGCAGGGCAAGGGACCCGAACCACGACCGTGCTTGGCCTTGAGCCCCCAAGCTTCAAGCCGCAAACTCTCCGCAGGGTGTTTGGGGTCTTTCGTTTCTAGTTATTGGGGCAGCATTTCACGAATTTCAATAAGACCCACAGGATGCAGAATTTCTTGTTCTCTTCTTGGGTGGTTCCAGTAGATTCGGCAAAAACAAGTGCTGGCGCAGTAGCCACTTCGCCCATGGTCTCAGGCTGCCATCGACAACATGCACTCCGCCGAGCTTTACGGTCGGACGCCAGACCCTCAAACCGAGATCTTCGTGTTACGCTGGTGCCTTCGCATGCTCCTCTGTCTGCCAGGATCAAGGTGAATTTGGCACGTGCGCCGAAGAATACACCGACCACAGAGTCGAACAGGCGGGTAGGGCCCCGGTAGGGCGCGGGCAGGAGAGACTTGCGCTGACTTGACCTTCAGTTCTGCGCCGACTCTCGCTCGGGACAGGCCGATCTGGGCAGATGATTTCTTCTATCGCAAGAAGCTGAAGGAGACGCGTTTCTTGGGGCGTTTCACCTATAGGCGGGATTTGACCTGAGTCGCCCTTTGGCTCTAAGAAGACTGTGTCGAACACATTAGTGCATTTCTTGCGTAGGTTTCTCTAGCTCATAGCATGGGATGGGCGTGGGGCTCACACGTGCCGTGCTCATGCTCGCTATGCTTGCTGAAATCACGGAGTCACAGACATTGGTCTCGGCCGGTCCGGCACGGGACTGGGCGGCTTGCGTCCAGTCCAGGGAGTGGTCGGCATTCCGGCATCAGGTCAGTGCCACCTTGGTGGAAGCGGGAACTGAGACTCCGACGGTGGGGCGGGATTTGGTTAGAAAGGCGCGGGTGCTCCTTCAGCGGTGGCAGGTTCCGGCTGGACAGTGGCAGGTCATGCTGGGCGGCGCCCGGCCTGCTGGCGAGTTGGAAGAAGCACATTGCGGAACATCCGTGGACGTGACCCGTGGTGTCCTTGCTCAGGATACCAGTCGCGGATTTCACCCCTACCATCTTCTAACATTGCCTCATGACAGTCCTGCCTGGAGAGAGGAGGACTTTCTGCGATGGCGCCGGGACTTTTGTTATTTGGGCTATGTGGTGGCTCTCTACGTGCGATCTGCTTCGCGCATTGGCCGCTCCAGGGCCTTGCAAGAGGAAGAGAATGTGAAGCTGTCAAGGGAGGATTTGCAGACTGCCTCGTCCATGCTGGGTCGCTGCCGGGAGATGGACTTTCTGGATCGCTCCGTGTGGGGTCTGCAGTCCCTGGACCTCGACGTGAGTCTGCTGCGTCTCGGGAGTCCCATGCCGCAGCCCGCCCAGGGCGAGGCTCCCCGCATGGGCGGAGCGCCATTTGCGGTCGCGGCCTGGCGCGGCCTGGCGGAGGACTTCCCCACGGAGCACCGGAACGCCCAGCAGAACCTCTGGCAGGCTTTAGGGAACGGTGCGAGGTTCCGAAGAAGTCTGGAGGCCCAGGTCGCGCGGAGCGTGGCTTCGGGATCGCTCACTGGCTGGCAGGGCCCAAAGCCTCACTGGCGACAGCGGCCGATAGAGGTGGCCCTCTTTGCAGTGCCTGTTTGGTATGCCACGGAGTTCTTGGTCGGCATTCTGCGTTGGCGTTTCCCTGCTTTACCGGTCTCGGTCTTCTGCGCACCTCTAGGAGGCTACAACTTACCAAGGTCAAACGAGCTGCGACACCTTGTCGAGCCTTTGCTGCAGGAACCCGCAGAGCTGCAGGTTTTGCGCTTGATCGAGGGCTACTGCTGCAACTGGGAGGAAGTGGATTTCCAGGTGGTGCGAGTTGCCTTGAAACAGCTGGCTCGCAGGCTCGCGCGCTCATCCTTTTCCTTGCTGGTCTGTGCCGGGCCACTCTGGCTCTGCCTGCTCCTGCGAGAGGAGGGACTCGACTTGCCGCTGCTGGCCCATTGCCTCACCTTCCAGGACCTGGATTACCCAGGCGACAAAGACCAGAACGTGGCTTGGGTGCACCGGAAGATCCTGGAGAACTTTGGTGCCGCGCCTGGCTCCGGCGGCTCCGGCGGCTCCGGCGGCTCCGGCGGCTCCGGCGGCTCCAGCACTGGGGTCTTGGGGGTCTTGGTTCAGGACGACATGCAGCGGGTCTACTACCCCATGATCTTCGACTTCACCCGGCAAGGGAACTTCAGCCATGCAGGCCAGCTGAGCTTCTTCCAGATGCCCTACATTCAGGCTCGCTACACGCAGCGTCGTCTCAGTGCGACTCGGCCGGATGTGGATGAATTGTCGAGGTGCTCGTCGTGGTTGCAATTACACGCAGCTTTCGTTGCATCCTGACATGTGCCGTTGGTGACTGCGACCGTACCCGCTCGTGCCGTCTGATCAGGAAGTGGTGATCCTGAGGGAAGGCACCACGAAACGTTGGACCCTCTCGCTCCGGGGCCACCTTTGGTACCTGAAGCTGAAGCAGATGGCCGCGGCCCAAACGGAGCCTCGTTGCTGTTGAGGCTGCAGCTGCGCTTATGCTGTCGCATTTCTTTCATGCCCTTCCTCAGGAAAGAGAGCTGCGCTGCTGTCAACTGCGATTTTTGAAGGACGAGTCGGCGAGGATCCCTTACTCGGAGATTGCCGAGCATCGGGCCGCCGTGTTCTTTCCGGGCATCGGCCATGCCAAACTCACCTTGCATGAGCTTCGGACGATGGGGATCCCCACCCTCTTCCCAGCGAAGAGTCTCATGTACCGAGTGGAGGACCTGATCCTGGACCCGCACCAGCCCTACAGCGGAAGCTTCCTGGTGCAGACTTCGGTGTTGAGGGCACCTCCCTCAAATTTCGGAAGAAGACAACGTGTTCAATTCGGCTTGCCCTCGCATCAAGTGTAGTGGTAGCACGTCCCAGACGGGACACCATTATGCGAGGCTACGACGGCTGTGGCTCACAGCTGGGCGTTGGGGCAATGCGACCAGGCTGCAGCAGTGGTTTCTCAACAGACGGCTAGATGCGAAGCATCTGGTTGAGGTTTTTGCATGCTCAGTACGTCCGTTTCTACTATGTGCAATTTTGCTTGTTTTGCATGACGGCAGGTGTTCTTTCTGCTTGCCATAAAGTTAACATCATGGTATCTGCTGCATATCATCGGAGAGATTCAGACCTCGGACCACTTTGGATAATCGTCCGGGTCAGGACTGCGACAACTTCCAGCAAAACAGTTTTCAGATCAGTTCCAGTATGCATGCTAAGCCAGCACGAAAATTGTCATCAACTCAGTCTAATATAGTCTACATGCATTTTTGACATGAAGGATCATTCTGCTTTTTTTCAGAAGCTGTGCGGACCCGCCTCGGCCGACCTTGCTAGGCGCTCCACGGCTCCGTGGATTTTGTCGTTGTGTGGATGGCGGCGCCACGCCTACTTCATGGAATGGTCCAGCTTCTACCGCTACCCTTATTTTTTGCATTTCGAGAGACGCCTGGAAGTAAAATTTGTTAGTGGCTTTCTTCTAGTACTTTTGCATCAGCATGGTTGATTCTACTGCCCATGCCCTTTCTCACGAGCACTGCAAATCTCCGTGACCAACATAATGGCCCTTGCCCAGCTTGAATCTCAACACCGGCTGTCGGCATGAGCCTTGTGCAGACATGACTGGGACCGGTCTATTGCACCGTGGGTAAGGTATCCCTCATCTTTTTGCGCTCGTTGCTTCGATGTCCTCGCCAGAGCTTTGGAGTCTGAGCCTAAAGATGCGACGGCTCAATGTGCGGCTCCGGGCGGACGAGGCTGGTGCACTGGTGAGGTGGGTAGGTGTTTTTGACTTGTTGCTGCGAAGCAGCGTGAGAGGTCACGGGGTGCCATCAGATTGGCGGGTTGGTCTTGCAGGTGAAGTTCTGGGGCGATTTGATCTTAGCCCTCGCCTCCACGGAGAAGATATTTCGGCCGAGAACCAGCGAAACTTTTGGGGCTGTTCGCAGAGATCCCAGCTGCTCCTTCGGGCGAAAGGAAGAGAATTCCACCGTTCGGTCCTGGCTGGCCTGCTGTGCCAGTACCTGTGGCAGCTGCAGCGACGAGAGGTGCCTCCCGACTTACAGCAAGGGCTCTCTTCACAAGAACGGGTGGGTTGCTTCCATCTATCTTTAGCTTCCCAGGTGCAGGCAACGTGGCGATCCTCGTGCCTGCTGCCCTTCGGAGTTAACACAGAAAGCTCCTCGGCTGGCTTTGTTCGTTGAGGAAATTCCTTAAACTGCTTGAACTGAACCTCTCTGGCTTTCTGAGAATTCATCGCGCGCAGTGCGCTGAGGCCTGCAGCCACAACGGTCCGCCTTGTCGAATGCATCGCATTCATCAAGATGTGGCTCCTTCGTAAACGTGGCGTTGCCCAAGATTCCACGTGGACCAGAGCGAAGAGTTCAGAGCTTGTGAGTGTGAAAGCACCGTGTTGGAAGCTGCGAAGAGCGTCGAAATGCGGCTCCGCGTGCTCGCGTGGGAAGTGCTTCGGATCCGGAGCGCCCCCGAGGGGGACTCGAGGAGAGGCAGAGGGCCGTGCTTGTCCTGGCCCGCGCTGGGCCGCGTGGAGCTGTCGCTCGCCGTCGCTCGCCGTCGCTTTGAGGTCATGCAGACCAAGGAAGTCGAATCAGTTCCAGCGACCCCGATGACTTCTATTGAGATCACCGCACGAGCTGCGACTGGAACACTGAACGGTTGAACAGGACGTCGCAGACGGAGTTCTGCAAGTTCTTTCAAGTTGGAGAGCATCCTGATGATGGGACGCTATGTAACAGGCAGTATAATGGCTAGCAGAAGTAGCTGAGGTCAGATTTGCACCGTGCTCCGCACCAAGATGTGGCCGTCAGCTCGATTGGCATGCGTAGCATCGCAGAAAAGGATGCCGAGCTGGGGACGAGAAGGAATTGGAGAGCTGCGAGCCTTGCAGGAAGAGGGGCTCGAAGAGGGAGAGGGCCACGGCTCCCGGCCGGCGTGGCGTTTTGCTTTTGGTTTCACGAGTTCAGAGCCGACGCTTTGCTGAGGTCTCGGCGACTCCTGATCAGTCCAAAGCCAGAGCGCTCCCGGCGAGCCTGAGCCTCCGCCGGCCAAAGTCCCCTCTGAAGGGAAGCCGCGGCGAGCGGCGCTTCTGGGGCGAGACTTGAGGTCGGGCCAGGACTCCACGGAAGAAAAAGGATGGAGAATGCTGCGGGGCGAGTCCGAGTCACTGCTCAGTCCCAGCTGGTCTGGACACAAATCCTTTCAACCTTTGTCGAGCAGCCGTGCTGGCTTCTGGAACACGTCACATGTCGTAGGGTCAGGACAGAGGCCAGAGCAGTAGCCGAGAAGGCTTCGAGTTGTAGCCAGGCTTGCGAAGTGGCTTGGGACGGGTTGGGGATGGGAGCATTTCTGGCTCGTTTCATTCGGGGCTGGGGCTAGGACAAACGACGCAAGCTGACAGAGATGACCACGCCGAGCTCTGGATAGAGCCAACATGGCGGTTCCTCTCGGCTCGTCCTCAGGCCGGCGGCAGCTTCTGCCTTTGAAGTCCTAAGGCGACTTTTTGCGATGCAAGGCCTGGAGGCCAGGCGGGCTGTCTCCTGGCGCCAGGCCGGGCCATGCTCGCAAAAAGAAGGCCAGCTACCGGTGGCTTCGTTTCCCAGGCCGACCACCTGGTCACCGAATCTTCTCATCGGGCCGATGCGAGTCGTGGCCTCTGCCCTCCGCCTCTCCTGGCCCTTGCCCGCATGCCTTGCACGCTCAGGCCGAGCTGGAGCTAAACGGCTCGTGGCTTCCGGGCACCTTCGGTGCGGCTTCTGAGGCCCACCTCTCTGTGCGACTGTCGGTCATTTGTGAGAGGCCATTCGTGGCAGTCTTCGCCTCCAGCACGGCCGCTGCGGTCAGCATGCGGTCTGCACGGAGGCCAAGGCTGGAGTAGTTTAGGCGAAAGCGAAGCATTTCGGTGTGCCGTGATAGCCAGGCCGCTGCTGCGGTCGCTGCGCACTGGCAAGGCGACACCGACACCCCAAGAAGGCAGTGAAAAAGCTGCCTTTTGGCTTGGGCCCTGGCATGCCCTGGGGCGGCCCTAGCCTCGCTCCGAAGTAGATGACGTGCTTCCGAGTGCTTGGCAGGTCCATCTGCCTCGTGGCAGTGTACATCAGTTGCGACGTGGGTGTGAACCTCTGCAGCGAGGCTGCTTCCCAAGGCGGTCCAGGGAAGTCCAAACGGTCCAACCGCCCACACGGGCTTTCACAAACCTCCTTGCTCTCTGGGAGGCTATCAGAAGGCCAGTGCCGTGCTGGTCACCTCTCTGGTCTCTGCGGTCATCGGCGGTAACCTTGGGAAGTTCGCCGGTTTTCCAGAAGCTCAGTGAGTTCGGACTGAGGTGCCGTTTGGGCAGTTCGACATGATGGATGGAGGCTGGGAGCGGCTGAGACCCTTCCGGAGAAGTCATACAAAAAGCAGCTCCACTGCACTTTCCCCAGAGGGGGGTGCAACAGTGCATGGCGCCGGAGAATGCTGGGAACTCGGACGCAGCATCAGCTCCAGACCCACCCAAAGCATCTCGAGGTCTTCTATCGTTCCAACTTTTTTGCTTCTGTGTGCGTTGCTCAGTCTAGACCGAAGCTTCGGAGAAAAACATCCGGCTCTGGATAGCTCTGGTCAGGTTGTTTGCCTGTTCGAGCATCTCGCTCCTGAAGGCACCTGTGAGCTCGGCTTAGCACATTGCCAGTCTACGCACCGTGCCAGGCCTTTGAGAAACAGAGTGCTGCTTTCATCAAGCTAGTGGGCCAGGCCCGAGTTTCAGAAGTCCACTCCGCGACGTGTTCAGATTCAGTGTGCGAGAGAAATTTACGACATGTCCTTCTGACAGTTGAAGCTACCGCTGGCGGCCTTTCTGGCGCGGTACTTCCTCGGCAAGAGGCCGGGCTTCCTAGTGCCTTCTCTTCTGCACAGCTGCACACTTGTTTAGCCGTTTAGCACATTGAATTCCATCAGTGAAAACAACAACTTTGCAAACCAGATCCGCAGGGCAATGGCGCCCGCTTAGCATACATCGCCGAGCCCAAGGATAGCGGTACTATCCACTGATCATTTCCTAGTAGCTGCAGCTGCTGACTCCTCCTGCTCCTCCTCTTCCTCCTCCTAGTCCTCCTCACTAACTGCTACCTAATAACTACTGTACCAACTTTTAGCCACCAACTACCAGTTGAATGATTATTTGACTAAATGACTATTGCCTATTGCTATTCACTATTAACTACTAACTATCAGCTACCAACTACTGATTCCTGACTGTTGGCTGCCAACTACTAACTACTATCTACTAGTTCGTGCGATTCTGTGAGGAGGTGCAGTGCGCCCCCTGGTTTCCTAGTCCTGGTGTGTCAGAGGACGGCACTGCCAAGTAAGTGCAGTGCAGCTATCCGTGCCTTGCAAAGTGAGGGCGTTCGCACCCACGGGCAATCAATCAATCAATCAACCAGCCACAAACTACGAACTGCCTCCCCCCACTTCTGCCGACTATCTGCTACCCACCGCCTACTACTTACTACCTTTTACAGTACCTACTACCTACGACCTGCTACTTATTTTCCTACAACCTACCACCACTCGCGTACATATACTTCGTACTGCACCGCACATATGACGCAACATAATGCACGACGTAGTAGTAGAAGAGGTAGTATAGTAATATAAGTCGTCGTCGTAGTCGTCATCGTAGTAAGCACTACCAGCTGGTAGTGGTGGTGAGGAGGAGTAGCAGTACCAGCAGCAGCAGCGGCAGCAGCAGCAGCAGCAGCGGCAGCTGCAGCAGCAGCAACAGCAGCAGCCGGAGCAGCAGGCAACAGTGTGGCAATGACAACAGCAGCAGTGGCAGGTAGCAGCAGTAGCAGCAGTAGCAGCAGTAGTAGCAGTAGTAGCAGTGCAGTAGCAGCAGTGGTACCAGGTAATAGGAGTAGCAGTCACGAGAATCACAGTCGGAATCATGGTGACGATAGGAGCAACATCAATACTTACAATAGCAGCAATGAAAATCACGTTATCAACTGCAATCACGAGTGACGGCAGCTTGCGCCTGAGATTATTTCGGCTTACAACGAGTTTGAACCCGCAACATTCTGACTTCCCCGATGTACTCGATGCTCAGACTCCGAAGCTCTTTTGATGCTCAAGTACAGGTACTCCCTGGCCCTCAAATTGAACATTTGGACTATCTCCTGTGCTTGTGGGGCCATCGTGGCCCGGGCCTGAGAAACCAGGCTTTCGTTGGGTGTCAAGGTTTACGGAATTGGGCAGGCATCTCGGTCCGCCTGTTTTTCGTGTCCTTGGTGATCTGGTCGCAAGCGTGAAGCTGCCGTACATGCGTGCAGACACCAAGTAACTATTAGATGAAGGGAACTGGCCCTTGCTCACTATCGTGCTCAGCGAATCTGCTTGGGTAGAGAGGAAGTTCTTGGAGAAGCTCAAGGATGTACCTGGAATGATTAGCTGTTGAGCTGGCTCCAGTGCGAAGACTAGCTATTTGAGTGGGCGTATCTGCGAAGTGCTGTTTCGGAAGAGGACAGTAAGCAAGCCCCACTGCTGAAGTCCGAAGAGTGCCCCCCGTGACCCTCATGTCACTCATGACAAAGGCTGGAAATACATGGTAGGGAAATACGTGGAAGCTGTTGGTCAAGCCGGTGCCATGAGTTCGGTCGATTTGCCGTGGTATGCCGTAGGGGCAAGGCCTGCGAACAGATCAGCGAGGTTTATTTTGATGCCATGATTCAACAATCTGTTGACGGCTTTCGTTTATCCAACAAACAGGGGCATCCGGCCGTACGGTTGTTTTGACAGCGCGAACACGTTGCAGTTGTGTTGTGAGGGTGGCTGCTGGAACGAGACCATTGCCAACTTCTATTTTTGCTGTTCCGATGAGGGTGTTCTTGATCGTGCCCACATTCCTGCTGTTCTTTTACAAGACTGGAGCGAAGACGGGAGCCTGCACGAAATGCAGCAGATGTGGCCCCGATTTCCTGGAGCCAGGTGTGTGTTGGAAGCTAGCACACATCTGACAGCTCTTCAGTACAGTTTCCGTACCTGTGCGGCGGCTTGCCACAAAGTCGCAGCTTGTTTCAGACGCTGTGCCGAGCGACAACTATGGGCAGCGCAGCTTGAGAATATCACGCTCGGGACGACCGATGGCTACGAGGCATCCCGGCCGACGCCTTGCTGGCCTCGCAAAAACGGCTGGCATGGCATCTCAGTGGTGCTTGCAAACCAGCTACACAATTCAATGAAAACAATAAACACCTACATGTTCGAGATGAGCCAAATGCGCCTGGACAAGGAGCAGACTGCCTACGAACCGCTGCCTTTGACTGAGCAGTTCAGGTTTCCACCGCGGCCCTTTGGCTATCCACTGCGTGCTGTGGAGGCGAAGTGCCTTCCCGGACCCGCCAAAGCACACCGTGGAGCCGTGCTGGAGCGCCTCGCACACGAACTGTCTTTGTCAAAGAGGGATGCTCTCAGCTTTGTGGAGCTGGGGGTTTCAGTAGGAAATAGCTTTAACATATTCGATTTAGAGTTTCTCGATTGGGTCTCTACGGTTTAGCTTGCTGAGCTTTGGTCGAACATCTTCTAAAGATCTGAAGTGTGAAGTGCAAAGTTCTGAAGCTCGAGATAGCTCGAGTTTTCAGAAGGAAACTCGAGGCTTCAAAAGCTTCAGAGATTCATTCTTTCCAGCCACATGGGGCGGCTCCTGGAATAATGTATATGTACAGAAGTTGAGTAGATCATTTGCTAAAGTGCGGAAATGCTTTCGACGATCTTCGACACAGAGACAGAGACATAGACAGAGACGGACAGAAAGACAGGCAGACACAGCCAGCCCATTTCTTGATACTTCAAATAAGAAATCTATTTTTCAATATAGTCTTTGCCTAGAAAATCCTTAACAGTTTCAATTTAAGAAATAACGTATGTTTATCGGAGGTTCCTGGACAATCCAGCATAAGCTCGATATAACCTGGATTTGAATAGTTTTTTTATACATGACGTATGGTGAATATACAACATATTTGATATGTATAATATATGGAAATATCATTGTATTTAATATTCATATGAATTTAGATAGTCACTGATATATTAATTCATGTGTATATGTATATATATATATATATATGTATCTCTAAGCATGTATGTATGTATGTATGTATGTATGTATGTATGTATGTGTATGTATGTATGTATGTATGTATGTATGTATGTATGTATGTATGTATGTGCGTATGTGCGTGTATGTATGTACGTAAGTATGCACGTATGTG